TGTGATAACGTCCTAAGTCAAGCCATTGGTCCATCTAGTTCAGTGTTGAAAGAGTTTCACCAGAATCCTGCTCATGTTAATCCAGATATACAAGATGTCAGAAACAGAATGAGGTTCTCAAGGGTCTCTACCTGCCATGGTCTGGAGAAAAATATCTTCTCTGAAACTCCCCTTTGCATTTTAAGGGAGATGCACTAATGGAGGGTTATTCTGAAATGATAACTAGCAGCTCCACAGAGGATTTTTCTTGTTGGGCTCAAGGCAGAAAGGGATATAGAAAGTTAAAATTCCCTTCTGTTCTCCATATTCTTAAGGCTGCTTAGGAAATTTCCATACATATTGTATGGAACATGTACATCAACTGCATTCAAGCAGTTAATATCAATTATAATTAGCCTATGGTGTCACTAAAATTAAAATAGTATTTAGAGTTTCTTAAACTAAGAACTCATCAAAATTTGCCAAATTCCACATGCTGAATTAAAAAAAACTTTGAATTATTTAAAAAAAATGGGTAGAAGCAAAACAGATACTGGTATTTGTATGTTTTAGCCATATTGTTCTTTTTAACTTTAAGCCACCTTGAATCCCAATTTGGGGAGGAAGATGAGATACAAGTAAATATAATACTAATACTATCCATTGTGGAGCTTTGAGTGCTTAACTCTTAATGAGTTTGAAGTCCAAGTGTATTCTTGAGTTAGCACTGAATTAGGGGTGCTATCTCTTTTTTTCCCCATCAAGCATTTTATCTTTAACAGCCAGATGGTAGAAAGATAGAAAATTGGTATAAATTGTCAATTCCAATTGGAGTAGACCCAATGAATAAATAAAAACTTGATAGGGCAACACTTATGTAAGTCCCATTGAGTCAATGATTCTGCAGTATTTGGGCCAACCAGTTGGATTTTGGCACATGTCATCTCCATGCTGAAACTAGTCCTACCTGTTTGGGCAACACAGATTTTCATTTCACTTTAGTTTCAATGGGGTTTACCATAATTAGCAAACTTCTACAATTTTAGAACAAAAAGAACTTGAACTTTCAAATTTTGAATATGAGAGAAAGGAAATAGAGACAAATGCAATAGTCTACATTTAGGCCACAAATCCACAGTTATAGGATGCAAGATACATGGCTCAGCAGTACTATATGCAGAAAGGATCTTGGGATTATTGTTGATCATAAATAGAGCAGAAGCCAGCAAAGTGATGCTGCAGCAAAGAAGGCAAATTCTATTTTAGCCTGCATTAATAGAAGCTTTGGGGGGTTGCAAACTGCCAGAAATAGTGCAAATTGAGTCCATTTTTAGGGTTAGGGTTAAGGAATCATGGGAACTGTATTTTATTGTGGCACCAGAGCTCTCTGACAGAGAACGCTCAATATCTCAGGGGGGGAAATCCCATGATTCCCTAGCACTAACCCTAACCCTAAAAGTGGACTCAATTTGCACTATTTCTGGCAGTCTGCAACCCCCCATAGTTTCCAAGCTGAGGGAAATAAATCCCACTATATGTTGTGCTGGTCAGACCTCATCTGGAATACTGCATTCAATTTTGCATGTCTAATTTTAATAGACAAGCTGCTGGAGAAAGTTCAGAGAAGGACAACAAGGATGATAAGAGGAATGGAGAACAAAACATATGAGGAAAAATTGAAGGAGCTGGGCATGTTCATCTTGGTAAAGAGGAGATGGGAAGTGTGGCATGATTGCACTCTTTAAATGCCTCTAGTTACTTAATGATCATGGGTGATTTACATAAGTTTAATATAGACTTTGAAAAAAAGTTAGAATAAAGATTTTCCATACCTTGAATCAGTCATCAATCAGAATGGAGACTGCAGTCAAGAAATCAGAAGATGACTAGGATTTGGAAGGTTGGCTATGAACGAACTAGGCAAGATCTTGAAGTGCAACAATATTTCATTGAATACTAAAGTTAGGAATGTCCATGCCATTGTATTTCCCTTCACTATGTATGGATGTGAGAGCTGCATGGTGAGGAAAGCTTATAGGAAGAAAATCGACCTATTTGAGATGTGGTGCTGTAGAACAGTTCTGGGGATATTGTGGACTGCTATAAAGATCAATAAGTGGGTCCTATAGCAAATCAAGTCTGAACTCTATGTTCAGCCAAAATGATCATGAGAAGACATGAGTCACTAGAAAATACATTAATGCTAGGTAAAGTAGAAGGCAAAAGGAAAAGAGGAAGACCACATTCTAGTTGGATAGCCAACTAGATAGTCAAGGAAACCACGGCTGCCCTGAGTCTGCAAGACCTGAAGCAGGAATCTTGATATAAGGTCACTTGGAGATCTCTCATTCATGGAGCCATCTTAAGTTGAAGTCAAACTAACAGCAGTTAACAAGAACAACTACTATTGCAACAAGGACACTGCTTTACTGCTGCTGATGCCAGCAGCAAAGCAGGAACTGCAAGCAAAATATCTAATGGAACAACTTAAGCAGCAACGGGTATCTAAATGGACAGATTTCTGTTAACTCTGTATTTTATCTAGAACATTGCCCAAGAAAGTCTTGTTGATGATGCTACATTTTCTATTTTTTTGGTTTTTCCCCTTTATAATTTTTGACAGTTTCTTTTTATGTTCTTCCCTCAAACAGAGGAAGATTTTACACACTGTCTTGTTTATTTTAAATATACATTTTCCATTACCTTTTTGTTCCATATTTAGTTTTTCACATTGCCCTATAAAAAGAAAATGAATGGGGCCTCAGGAGCCTTTGTAAGGCAGTGTGAGATGACAGAAATGGCAGTGTGAATTTCAGTATGCCCCACAAAAGGGTAAAGATGGTACAGCTATGTGGCCACATCTCATCATTTTTCTAGCAGCCACACTGTGGTTCCTTGTCAAGTGAGCAATCGACAATTATGAAAATGTATCACTATGATTCCTAGCCTGCCTCTGACAATCTTGATACCACACTTTCCTGTTGAGCTGCAAAACATCTTTATTTTTTTCGAGTTGGTTTGATTTAGACATATGGGCCAACTGAAAGGAAATGAAATGTAGTCTGGTTGCATTTGTTGTCATCAAGGCTGCATCAAAGAAGTAAAGTCATTTGCTCTTTCACTGATAGGACCCCAGTTTAAAGGGGCATAGCCTTCACCATTATTTAGTTGTTCCCATCTGAGGCATGAGGAGAAAGAGAATAGCTTCCTCTGAGGAATACTACCATCCATTGTCTTTCTCTTTGTGAATGCTGCTGTAATGCTGGGGGGGGGGGGGAGATCTGTGTGAGGGAAGACACTTGTTCTTTTACCCCAATGTTGTTGTTGTTGTTGTTGTTGTGTGCCTTCAAGTTGTTTCCAACTTATGGTGATCCTATCACAGGGTTTTCGCTGCAAAGTTTGTTCAGGGAAAGTTTACTATTGCCTTACCCTGGGGCTGAGAGTGTATGACTTGCCCAAGATCACAAGTGGGTTTCCTGACAAAGCTGGACATTGAACCCTGGTCTTCAGTGTTGTAGTCTAAGATGCAAACCAATACTGGCCATTTCAACATTTACTGCTAATTCAGATGTGGGGGAAGTATGGCCCTTCAGATGTTACTACACCGAAGCTCCCATCAGTCTTACCTAGCTCACCAATGGTATGGGATGGTAAGGACTGCCATCCCACTCTATCTGGAAGGCAGACTTTCCTTGATCTAATTTATCTATTATGATGTGTTTACATTACATTATTGCTGTTATGTGCCTTCAAGTTGTTTCCATCTTAGGGTGACCCTAAGGCAAACCTGTCATAGGATTTTCTTTGCTAAATTTGTTCAGAGGGGGTTTGCCTTTGCTTTTCTCTAAGGCTCTCCCAAGTTCATCCAGTAGGTTTCCATGGCTAAGCGGGAATTTGAACCCTGTAGTTCAGAGTAATAGTCCAATGTTCAAACCACTACACCACAGTATCTCTCTGTTTATAATACATACACAGACACATAAAATTGTCTCTGTGTGTATGAAAATTCAGGAAAGTTTCAGAGCCAGCATAGTTTAGTGGTCTGAGCATTGGCCTAGGAATCTTGGGGACCAGGGTTCAAACCCCTGCTTAGCCATGAAAACTCACTGTGCTCTGTTGCAAGAGATGGTGACAAGGCCACACACTCTCCACCTTGGAGGACAGCAATAGCAAATCACCTTTGTAGACATCTTGCCCAAAAAAGTGTAGGATGGCATTGACACATAATAACAAATAACACAAACTACATGGTAAAGAAATGGTTGCTATAAAAACAGTGACAACACATGGCATTCAGAGCCTTCCACATTAATTTACTAAACCTAGCCACTAACATTATGTGAGATAGGCCAGTCCTATATTGTAGATGAGGCAAAGAGGGTTGTGATTTCTAAACCATGAGTTTGTACCTGAAGTATTAAACCAAGGGCTCTCCAATTTACATGCTTAGCCAGTCTTTTTTAAAAAAGAAAAATGTGTTTGTGTCAGTGTTAGTATCTTTTACAGCAGAAATGGACCAAGCACAAAACCATGTTCCCTTTTTGAACTACTGTCCCAGAAATGACAATTCTCCTTTAAAGATGTGTTGCAAGGTCTAGGGGTTACCTGCAGTACAGGTGTTTATCATAAAAACATCCACATTTACATGAAGATCAAGCAAGGTTTTTACTGCAGAGATATTTGGGAGATAATACTAAATGTCTTTTAAACGTTCTGGAATACTATGAGAAACATAATGAGAAAAAGATGGCCTTGGTATTTTTAGATGTGGAGAAAGCATTTGATAATGTTAGCTGGCCATTTTTTTATTTTGGAGAAGATGAATTTTGGAAAAAACTTTATAAACTCGATTAAGAGAATATGTGATAAACAAGAAGCATAGGTTTGATAAACAGGGATTTAATGCAACCCTGGAAAAAAGGAACAAGACAAGGTTGTCTTTTGTCTCCATTACTGTTTGTATTGGCAATTTAAGTTCTACTTAGACTAATAAGAGCAAATGAGAAAATAAAAGGTGTAGATGTAAAAGGCATTAATCCCAAATAGAAAGCTTTTGCAGATGATTTCATAATTTGTATGGAAAATTCTTTGGAGGCTATAGAAGATCTGAAAATAAATGGGAATCTGTCTAGTTTTAAGATTAATCAAGACAAAACAGTTATTCTGACTAAGAATATGACAAAGAGTGATGAGAAGCTTTTTCAGGTCAGGTCAGGCTTTCAGACAAAAAAAGCCAAATATTTGGGGATTTATGTTTCGGGGGTTGAACCTTTTTAAAGACAATTATGTTGTCTTTAAAGGTTATTATGGTTTGTAGTGTTGATCTGAATCTAGGTTTTCATAGTTCTTTGTATTGTGAACAAGTGTAAGTGGATTCAAATTTTAATAATCATTATGTGAGAAGATTGTTGTTGTGGATTTGGAACCTATATAAAGTTAGATTTCATTCAGAATTATCCCTGTGGTGCTCACCTATTGAAGCTTTTTAAAAGAGAATTATATGTAAGAAAAAGTTTGGTTGGTATACAGAGAACTGTTGCTAAATGGAAAACAATCAATGTAGGTTGAAAACAAGGGATGAAATAGAGCTAGAAGTGTAGTAAACTGGTTTGCATACAGATACTTAAATGAAAGACTTAAAATGAACAAAACCCTGAGGTTTTGACATATTTGAATTTGAGTTTGTTATGTACTGATGATAAACATTTGATTGCTAATACATATAAAATGTTGTTGAGATTTGAAACTGAAGGAGAACAGTTTAAAGACTGTACGATGAAATAGGCTCAGACTATAGGATCCCCAATTTTAGTAGAACAATGGGGAAAATATGTTCAAAAAGTTTGAAATTTACATTGAGTTATGATTTGAGAGAGAAGTTCTATAAAATGATGTATAGATGGCATTTAACTCCTGAAAGATTATCGAAAATGTTTTTAAAATAGTTCAAATGCCTATTGGAAATGTAAGAATAAAGGTGGAACTTTTTTTCATGTGTGGTGAAGCACAGAAATGTTGGACTTTAATACAAAAAATGCTGCTTTTCTTGTTGAGACTATTGGATAATGAATTATGGAAGGACGTTATAGTATATGATTACCGCAGCAAGATTTGTCTATGCCTAGGGATGGAAGGAAGCTGCTACTCCAACTCAAGAAGATTGGTTGGTGAAACATAGTTGAACTTGCTCAAATGGACAAATTGGCAATTTTGATTAAGGAGAAATCTTTGATAAAAAGACTGGGAAATGTTTAATTCATATATGCATTCTTATTGGGGTAAATTATCGGTTTTAGGTTTTGTAAAACATCACAGAAGCTTTGTGTATTATAAATTAAAGGAAGTTTAGTAACAAAGGAATATAACCATCAGTTTGGGGAGGAAGAAGTCAGTTTATTTGTGTTATGTTAGAATTTTAGTTTTTCTGTTTATAGTTTTTGTACAGTAGTTCTTAGTCATATATATATAAACTGTATTTTGTTTGTTGTTGTGTTATCTATGTTTAATAAAAAATGATTTTTTAAAAAATATCCACATTTCAAATCTGGAAGTGGCCACTTTTTCTTTGGCATGGACCTCAGGGACTTCCAGGAGGAGAAAATTGGCCCTTGACCTGCCACAGTTGCCCCCTCCTGTCTAACAGCATTTGCTTATGCACTCTTACTAAGCCCTTCCATCCTCAATGGGGTTCATTGATTAAGAGTACTTATGAATGCAGTTTTACTCTGTTAATGTTTGTAGGGTTGCCAGATTGAAAACTAAAGAGAGCTCCTGCAACTTTAAGGATTATGTATAAGAGGAATCATGCCTGAACTCTCCCTGGAAGTCAAGATGGCTTGAGGCTGCCATACATCAGCCACATCATGAGAAGGAAAGACTCATTAGAAAAGACAATGATGCTGGAGAAGGTAGAAGGTAGTAGAAAGAGAGGGAAACCACATATCAGATGGATCAGCCCACAAGTCAATCAGCCCACACATCACCCCACAGTTCAATCAGGAAGACTATGGGTCTGAGCTTATAAGACCTGAGAAGACAGGCAGAAGATAGGGGGACTTGGAGATGTCTCATTCATAGGGTTGCCATGAGTTGAGGTGGACTTGAGGGCAACTAACAAGAATAACAGAAGAGGAAATTACAGCAAACATTGCTTGTCATGTAACCAAGCAATAAGGTTGAAAATCCTCTCTTCTGCACAACCATTACAGGAACCAGAGCCCTTTTCTATTTTCACTGTGGCATCCCTGTGTTGTTGTTGTTGTTGTTGTTGTTGTTGTTGTTGTGTGCCTTCAAGTCGTTCCAACTTATGGCAACTCCAAGGTGAACCTATCATGGGGTTTTCTTGGCAACATTTGTTCACATGAGGTTTTGCAATTGCCTTCCGCTAAGCCTACTCAACGAAATCCAGACCTCACCCTTCTTCAAGTTGAATGATATCCAGTTGTACTTATTGTTTTGTACTTTTTATGTTTTTGTTAGACTGTTTTCATATTCTTTACCTTGATTTATAGATTAATTTTTAAACAATCTCCTTTCTTTAAAGCCAGTACAGAGTACTTGTATCTCAATGGTTGACTTCCTTTTTGACAGCCTTAGGGCTCGTTTCCACTTACATTTAAACCAGTTTGCAATTCACCTTTGCTCTGTGTCAGTGAATTGATTCCAAAAGGTCTGTCATTCCCACTATGAAAGCGGATCTTTTCATTATTGTCTTGCAATCACTTCTTTTTTGGCATGATAGGTGTTCCCACTAGTTTGTGCCACTTCAAAATGCATGTCAATCATCTGTGCATCATCAGTGACACAAATGGCAACACAGTGAGGATAGGGCCATTCCAGGCACCAAGTGGGGCGACTTTAGCAACTGAGCCTTCCTCTGCCCCTCAACAACCCAGGCTGCTCAGGCACACCATTTCCCCTTAGAGCAGTCCAGCTTGGGAACTATATATTTTAAAAAAAAATTGACAGGATATGTGATCCATTGGTCTTGCAACTACTTCCCTCGCTAAGCTGCAGTCTGCCCGTAATTGCAAGTAGTTGCAAATACAATGGA